TTCTCTGATGTAGTGCCAGAATCTCCTTAGTTCTGTTCCCTTTAACTGTGACATCTCTTTTTCCATCCAGGATGCCAGCTTGATAGCTCAATATGGCATTCTATCTACTTTTCTACAAAAGTTTCACCTCAGTCCCCAGGGGAAGCTGGGGCTGAGGGTAGCATTTGCTGGTGGATTTAATTTTCACTCACTCAACTCTGAGACTGGGTGGGGGCATGTCCAGTCCCTGAGGGTAGGTAGATACTCCACACTTCAGCTGAGCCCTTCGTTAAGTATGGCACCCAGAGCCTCGGATTTCTCCTGAGTCAGCCCTGGTTGTTCACTTCCCTATTTCATTCTCTCACTTCCACTTAGTATGGGGAAGGATCCTAGGGCCTGGGGGTTCAGCCAGTGTTCATTTAACCATGAGTTGGGGAGGTTGAGGGAAGGATTATTTCACTGTGGCTTCACTGTAACCTTTTCTGCTAGATTTTTGCTTCAGAGTCTCTTTTGTTCTTGTGCTCTTTTTTTCAAATTTCTAGATTTTTATTCATCATGTGGCATATTATATATAGTCTTATTTTTTCTGCCCACTGCTCTACTTTTCCCCTTACCTACTTTTCCCCTCACCAAAAGAGTGCCTTCACTGCATCCTGCATTGTCCCTCACAGATTTACATTCTCCAGGGATTTCCCAAGACTTCCCCTGAGCTGACTATTTACCTCCCATTCAGCTCCTCTTCAAACTTGAGGGCTCTATAGAGAGTTCTCATGGCTCTGTGGACAACTTGCAAAGGTACCTGTTTCAATAGGTTGGGAACCACCTTAGACTCCCGCTTACTAATGCAGGTAGATGAAGTTTCTTTTCTTGGCAGACATGTTTTTCAAGTGTATTATTAAGTTATACTTCTTTCCTGATTTGTTTGCTGTTGATGGATTTTTTTTTCTATTGTCTACTTCTGTTGTTTACTATTTTTATTTCCTTAAGGAAATAAAATTACCTAATTCCTTATTGGGTAAAAGAGGATCTGTAATCATGCCTCACTTGATTTGTCTCTATAGAAAGCACCATCTAATTCTTTTCAAATTGTGTTCACTGGTGAAAATTACTGAAGAAACCACTCAATATCTCTCACATCATATGCGTAAACATCAGCCCTGTTAATGGCACTGGCCTCTTGGGGGTAGAATGGAGGGAACTAGGTGTAAATTAAAATGGAGTGGTGACAATTTGAGACGGTTTTCAACTTTAAGTTTGAGAATAGATTAGAAAGGCATCTGTTCATATATCACAGAGTATATTTTTGCTACATTTTAATAAAAGTTTACCTCCTCAACACTTCCCCATCCTCCATTTGGTTAAGGGTAGGTGAACATAAATAATGTTTTTTAGGGGCAGAAGTGGTCTGAAACTTTAATGCTATTTTTTCTCCCCCCTCGTAAGCTTCTTGCTTCCTGTCCACATCACAGGCTGGTATGTAAATATCCAAAGGCTAGATTATAATCATGCATTCTTTATTCTTGATATGTCTTACATTAAATAGGAACCTTCACATAACCAACTCATAAATAAAAATATTTAATTTTAAAACTTCATTCCTCTGAGACTCTGGAGAGAAAAATGTAGAATAAACAATTAAATACTAGCCATTTAGAAGGGTGTTCTTTGTTTTTATCCCAAATGATTCTGTCATACCCACGAGGCAAGTGCTGATTACGGAGCTAAAAACAGGTGAAACACTGGCTGAGTGGTGGTGCGGAGAGCAGGAGTGGTGCACACAATTTGACAATATATATCAAAAGCTTACTTAAAGGTTACTTCAGCTGGACTGGTTTTCCGGGGCTTAGATGTTGTTCTGGTGGGTTACCCTTCCCCCCAAAATATCATTTTCACTTGTAGCTGGAATGTTGACGGGTGGATTTGGACAGGGCTTCTTGGTGCACCCAGGATTTACTTAAGGGTTGGAGGAGACTTCTGGGGAAAAAAGGCTCCGACCTTTCTGCTGAAGTGTTGGAGATATAAATCATGCCTGGGGCGGGGAGGGTGGATGCAGACTGAGGCTAAATTGCAGGAGACCATGTGGAGCCCTTGAGAAGAAACTCACCAAAAGGGAGGGGCTCCAAACAGGACCAAGGTCACACTCAGAAGGAAGTGTTAACTCTCTGGACATGGTGGAGGGCTGTCACCAACCTCACTCCAAGCTGTGCTGGGACAGACCATTTGGTAAAGCAACTGAACTGAAAAGCTACATCACTGAAGAGGTGAAGCACTTAGGACCCAAGCAACTCTTGTGTTGAGATTCCATTCAAGAAATAAAACTCTCTCCAAGTTATAAACCTGCACAGACATGCTCAGCCTCAGAACATCCCAGGCTTCAGTGGGTTGCTTCACTTTCCCAATAATGAGGCTCGTGGGAAAGAACTCTGAACTCTTCCTCTAGTCTTAAAGTCCCTGCCACTTGCTGCCACCCTTGGTAGAGGGTAGGGTAGGAGACAGCTGGCAGTGGGTATGGTTAGGGATTAGGCCATGGACTACTCTTTTCCTACAGCTCCAGGACTTGGTTCCTACTCTACCAGACTTGACGCATGGAAGCTCGAGATATCCCAGTGCTTTTTTAGAGACACCAGGTGACATATCCCAGAAGTACAGGGAAGTATGAGCCCATAGGACAAATTTTGACCAACAAGTCAGAGGAGATATGAAAGACTCTGTAGACAAATGTCCTTGCTTCACTCCTACCTCCTGGCTTTTCCAAGACAAAACAACTCAGTATAATCTCTCTGGAAATATCCTACAGTACCGAGAAATGAACTAGGTTTCAAAGTTGTAACCAGCTGAATAACACATAACCTTGTATTTGTTTTCCTTCTTTCCTTCCTTCCCTTTTGTCTTAACTTGTACTTCCCTGCAATTATAGTGCCCTGTGAAGAACTAACATGCTGTTTTCTAGAGAACCCAGACTAACATAATTTTTTTAAAAAAAGGTGGATTTGATGGAAATTTAAAATGAAGGCAAGAGTATGAAAGAATCTTTGGGGCATTCAGCATGTTTAATAGTCACAATAGATCAGGGGCAGCAGATCTAGGCTCTAGATCCATCATAAAGATGGGATGACAAATTTGGGGGTTAGGGATAAAGTGTGGTTATGGAATTATATCTCCAGGAGGTACATTTCCTGTCTTCTAGCAGGTAACAAGAGGTAAACAATTAATTATAAGGACTTTTTCATGGATACACATGCCTATATTCCAGAGAACCCAGAAATATTTTGGGTGAAGGTCTCATTTAAGGGGTAAAATTATTTACTGCATCAAGCCTTTATAGCAAGTGGCAATAAGAAATGATCACCCATCAGTGGAAATGAAAAAATAAGAATGAGAGGTCTCTGTATCCACTGGAGACTATCTTTCTAAAACCTTAGAAGCCTGTGCTTTGCTTTATAAGGGAGGGTAGAGTGTTTTTTGTACCTATACATCACTTAATTCTCACCACAGTACAGAAGAGCAGACATGGTTCTCACCCCCATTTTGCAGATCAGAAATGGGAAACAGGTTAAATGTTCCAGGTTACATGGATCCAGGACTCAACTCAGTTTGACGCACTTTTGATCAAAATCCTAGCTATGGTTTTGAAAGCAACTGAGGAAGATGGAAAACTTCACTAGAGATTCAAAAGGGTTTTAGCTGGTTAGTGCCTCTACTTCAGGCAATGAATTAAGACACGTGGGAAGTGATTCGAAAGGTGATTTAATTGGGACTCTTTTAAAGTTGTGGCAGGTAGGGTAATGTGTTTGTATCTGAACCTATAATTTATGTAGATTCAACATACACCTTTTTTGCATATTGCAGCACTGGAGAGGATGTGGAGTGTTGTGATACTAAACATATTTGTATAATTGACTCAATTATCCATGTGGGTATTATTGACATTTAATTTGCAATCTGGCTCCTCCTTTCGATTAGGATGTTTTTGGGCTGCTGTAGGAATGCCAACTAATTTAAATAATAATTTAAGTAAAACATAGTTAGGTAGGAAAATTAAATCCAATCTTTTGCCAGCTCCTGAAGATTCTACATCTGAAATGCAACTCTAATCCATCCACTATCTTTTTATTTTCCAATGCCATTTTATTACCACAGGATTTTATTGTTTTCTGTAGATTATTGCAAGTTTCTTATCTGGCTTTTTTCGTTTCCTCTTTCCAGTCCAACTATTATTCTGCTGACAGTAACCTTAAGACAAACAAATAAGCAAAAACAAAAAACCCAGCTCTCATCACAAAAATTTCTTTGCTTGAAAACATTTAATGGCTCTCATTTTTTCACCAGATTAAGTGCACATGCCACAACACGTTACTCAAGGTTTCTTCATGTCACCTGCCCTAATCCTACCTCTGATACCTTGTCACTGTTCCCACCTCCGAATTCCCTTACTGCACTGAAAGTTTTTCTCTGAGGTAAAATACTGTATTTGTGAATCCGCGTTGTCTCCCTACTTACTCTCCTGTGAGATCCTCAGTGGGAATTTTTGTGGTGTTTTATCTGCCCCACCCTGCAGTGCCCGACCCCAAAGGGGAGGGGGAGCAACAAATACTGTCCGTTTCTGCTGCGGGCAAACCCAGGAGGCAGAAATTTTGGTCTTTGGTGTCCCAAGTGCCTGGTATAGTGCTTGACACATAGTAGGCGCTCAACAGTAGGCGCTCAAAGAATACTGTTGAACAAATGAAGGTACGTACACAAACTCCACGTGGCGCCCTGCAGAGCGAGTATATAATATGCATGCATACACACGCCTAAATATACGTATGCTTATACACCCATATTACACGTATAACACATAAAAACACACATCCATACTCAAGTATATATAATTAGTAAATATATAAATATACGTAAATTATATGCGTACAGCCTGAACTCCGAACAGGCTAGAGAGGCAGGGCTGAGGATCGTGTGACAGGACCCAGCGCCGGGTCCGCAGGAGTCCGCAGGCCCAGAGGGAGCTGCGCGGCATGGCCCTTCCGGGTTTCCGTCCTCCGTGGCCGCCATTGGTTGGGCTCGAAGCAGCTGACAGGGAGCGGCTGGGCGTGTGAGCTTCGAGGATGGCGGCGTCCGGGGTACTGATCCTGCGGGAGAGCCCCAGGTAGCTGTCTGGCTGGGCACTTGCGGTAGTCGGCCCCTGGTTGGCGCGGCCGGGTCGGAGCGAGGACGCTTCTGCCGTCTGTCGCCTGGGCGCCCCGCGGGCCCACTGTAGGTCCAGAGGGGGGGGGCGGGGCTGCCCTAGTCGCAGTGCGGGTCCCGCTACAGTGCGTGGGACTGGGGTCCCGCCACCTCGCGGTGGTTCACGTGCGCGGGGTCACGGTGCGCCAGGCCGCTGAGGTCAGCGCTGCCGTCTGTGGAAGCTGTCACTGTTCGCAGGGTGTAGTGTCAGCAGTATCCAGGCCTCCCTGGAGTAATGCTGAGTAACGTGGGAAGGTGTTCCGTTTACGTTTAAATTCTCTTTCTGACCTTTTGATGATGAGAAAGGCTCCCTTTGGTGCTGGACGGTCCTGAAACCTAACACGTGTCAGTATCCCTTTTCCATCAAGACAGAATTAGACCTCAGGCCAGTCGTAATTTGAGAACATTGCTTTTGTTTTCATTTTGTTTATTTTTAGTTAATTTCTGTTTATGGTAGGTAAGATCAGCTGTCCATGGTGGTGATACAAAATTCTCTTCTAAAATAAAATTATTTAAGTAAAAATGACTCCATGCAATGAAAAGTAATTAAATCATAGTGAGTGGTATGTGGATGCTGACAATGTGCTGAAATACTGTGTTGGCCAAAAAGTCCGTTACATTTTTTTTTTGTTAGGAAGGCTCTAGTAGGGCTTAGTTGTCTTTAACTTCATTTGAAACAACTTTATTACATTGTATTGTGACAGCTGTCATATCCGTGTACATTTAAAAAAAAACGCCAGCTGTCATCTGTTTTTCTGTATTTTACTCACGCTTACCTTATAGCAATCAGAGTTGAGATGAAGACTTACAGACAACTTCAGCTATAAACAAGTGTAGCACTAGAGCAAGTACAGTTGCACTTGGAAAGCTCACTTAAAAACTTTGTTTTACTAATTTATTTAGCATGAAAAAAGCAGTGTCGCTGATAAATGCAATAGATATAGGAAGATTTCCACGATTGCTCACCCGAATTCTTCAAAAACTTCACCTGAAGGTTTGTACTTTTGCATTTCTATAATTTACAATACTTCCTTGTGATTTCACTGAAACTGTGCTTCTACTTACAGAACATTTTGCAAAGTGTAGTGTTTCCCATTGTGTCTTTGAGAACACCAGGTCTTTAGAAAGTTTGATAATGTCCCATGGTCAAAAGTTTTTATAGTAAATATTTAAGGGTGGATATCGTGTGCAAAATTTTGCAGATGTGTCTGACCTTGGAACATTTATCATGGTATACATTTTGGGACTAAGGTTCCGTGGAACATGCTTTGGGGAAAATTCTGATTTTTTATGACTTCATTATTCCTTTTAAAAATAATTCTGTGGTATCAGTCAGTATTAATCTTTCATTTAATCTTTGACTTTTATTTCAAGGGTTAGTAATTCACTGCTTGCTCACCAATCTAAGTTAACTTTTTAATCAGGTTATAAAAATTTAACTTCATCAATCACATGTTTATGGAACACCCACTAACTGTTCTGCCTGGTGCCAGGCATCACCATTAAAGAAGAACCTGGACTCTTCCCTCTTTTCTTTCTTGGCTAGGAGTTAGCCCCAAAGTCCTTTCTCCTTCTGAAATGTCTCTCAAATTCAAGTTCTCTTTATAGCCCTAGTTCAGACTCTCATTATTTCTTCTTTGGACAAAATAATGCCTTCAAACTGGCATCTTTAGTCTCTCCCTTCCTATTGCTTCTTCATAATGCTATTTCATTTATCATTTGGATAAAAATATTTATCCAAATACATTTTCCTAAAAAAGAAATGATTATATCAAAGCCATAAATGGTTTTCCTTTGCCCCATGGGAAGAAGTTCAAAATCCTTAACATTGTATTATAACAACATTATAATATAGCCATAACCTATATTCATAATCCCCTTTACAAGTGCTCCAGTCACACTGGACTGTGCTCTTTTACTAGAACGTGCCGTGAATTTTTCAGCTGTGTGTGTGTGTGTGTGTGTGTGTGTGTGTGTGTATGTATTCTCTTTCCTTTACCTACGATGTCCTCCTTCCCTTCTCTAGTGAATAAACTAGTTTTCATCTTTCAGGCATTTTACCTCACTCTCAGCAGTTCTCTCTTCTGTGCTTCTAAAACACTTGGTTCATTATCGCTCCACTTTAGTACTGCATCATCAGCATTTGTTTCATGATTGCAGGGTCTTTCTCTGACCTTGAATACCTTGAGTATTATGTTTTACTCATCTTAATCTTTCTTGTACCTAATAACAATGATACTTATACAATCAGCACTCAATAACTATTCTTGGAGTTAATTCTCTTCTTTGCTATGGGAAACACAAAACAAATGTAAGTCCTTTAAATTCCTGTCTGTAAGGAATTTGCTATTTACAGGTACATTGCTCCCTTTGTGACTGCTACCATTCTACTGGCTTTGCATTATTAGCTCACAGTGGAATTAATCCTTGTGGCAACTTTAGGAAGTAGGTACCATTTCATCTTTATTTTATTGGTGAAGACACTGAGATAGAAGCTAGTTAAATAATTTGCCCACAATCACACAGCTCACTAGTAAGGCAGTCTGTTCCAGAATCTCTCTCTTTAATCCATCACAGTAAACCTCAGAAAAGAGTATGAAATAGTATGTAAATCTGTCTAAAAGTAAATGATGAAGGCAGTTTATACAGAAGTTGTGCTTTGATTCCCTGAGCTGTTAGGTGGCTGCCTTCGTAAGCATACATATAAAACAATGTGGGTCAAACAGTTCTTATATACATCTTTTGTTCTTACTGAGGGAGGATGGAACATTTCCAGGGAAAATTGTGATGTGTATTTTGCCTTCGACCCTGTCAGTCACCTCTGGAGTTGATGATAAGTTAATATTTGTCTTGGAGTAACTGTGGGTGAAGCATTCCAGAGATGCCTGATTGTTGTGCCGTCCAAGGTAGGGGAGTGAAGATGAGGAGGTGTGGTTATTGAGAGCTGAAGCAACTGAGGACAGAAATGTATGTATGTGAGTATTTGCCTTGTGAGAGAATCTGGAAAGGTACAGTTTGGTTTTTTTCCCATGGACAGTTTCAGGGAGTGTTCTTCCAGAAGGGCTTCTGTTGTGATAAGAGCTCTTATCAAGATTTGTAGAGACATTCAGGATCTGCCAGCTTTCTTTTATTTACTTTTTGTCTGTCAGATTGGCCTTTTGCCTTCTGATGAACAGAGCCTTTAGAACAGTGAGACCTGACTAGATTGATGACGTTTAGAGATTTAGTTGCTATACTAAATGATACCAGTTTAGCATATTGATTTTAGCAATCTTACTCTGTTTATGGGCAGAGATAATCTATTTTTGTCCAGATTGGTTCCTTGGAACCGTGGTAGGAGTAAATATGAGGAAACTAAGATAGCTTAGGTATAGAATATGGGCATGCCTAAGCATGGGTCTGGGAGTCCACTTTGAACTGGCCATCTTCCTGGCCAGAGAAATGTACAGGACTGTCCTGCACAAAGAATTGTCCCATCATCCTGTTCATAGAGTCTGAATTGGGAAATACTGAGGGAAGTCAGACCAGTTGCCATAGTTGGGAACTTAGAAATAAACATTTATTGCTTCTGAGTTTCAAAAATAACAGTCACAACTCATGCAATTAAAAAAACAACTCATATACTTTGCTCCTAGGAGAGACTTTTAGCCCCTCACACAAAGCCTGTTAATGTAGCAACACTCTGAGAGGTCAGGTAGCTGGATGTCTAGCAAATGTCTAGCTCTGAGAGGTCAGGTAGCTGGATTCCTGGCATGGTGGACTAGAAACAACCAACTAAGGGTGAAGGTGCTGCTATGATGAAGCATGTAAGGCAGTTTCAGGAATTGCCTATTGATCATGGAATGAAATGGGAGAATTCTGAAAATCAGAAGAACTATAAAGGCACAGAAATCTGAGGGGTGTTTTTACTGAAGTAAAAATTATAGCTGTATCCTAGGAGTTCTTTAGGATACTTCAGCACAGAACTTTGATGCTTGTAATTATGACCTGAGTCAGCATAAGAATTAGTTTAGTCCAATATACTTTGTTTACAAAATTCTAGAGTGGATGCCATATATTTTAGAAACATTTCTTCCAAATTTTTAAAATAAAAGTTCCATTTATTTCATAGATTCATTTGTGAGTACCACTGTACTTCCCTGTGATGATAGAGAAAGGAATCTCGTTAACATACAGGACAATCCCATGTGTAAACCCCAGCATGTGGACGTCCTGAGGAGTGTTTGGTGGTTCCAGTGTGGGGGGTGCTGCTTGTGTTCAGTGCTCTGGGACCTGAAATGTCTCACCCGTGTAGGACAGTTCTTCACACAAAAAAAGTGGTCTCACCTATATGGACCAAAAAAAAAAAAAAAAAGAGGTCACTTGTCTCTGTTTTTATGTGTCTTTTGAACTAGAGTCTGGTATGCCTGAGTGTTACAGAACAGAACAAGGGGGGCCTGGGACGATATACTATTATTTAAAAGGCCCCCAGGTCCGTCATGTCTGCCGCCCGAGGAAAGACGTCTCTCAATGCCAGAGATTCGTGAAAAGGAAAGGAAATGTTTATTTAATGCTATACAAACTTAAAGTAGTGACCTAATGTCTTTATCAAAAATCCCAAAGTCCCCCCAAAACACCCACAAACAGACACAGTCCTTCCTTCCTTCCCCCTTTGCCCAGTCCAGAATACCGTATCTCAGGGAAGGAAAACAAAGTCCATGGCTCAGACAGTCCTCTGGTTCTTAGTTAGTCCTCCTTCTCGACTGGGAGACCTCCCTGGGTTCCTGGCACCCTCGGCTGAGTCGCCAGGATCTCTGCTAAAACCAGGTGGTGGTTCCCCCTTCTAAAGCTGTGCATGGCTCTCCTTCTCAGGGCTGCGCATGGCTCTACTTCTCAGGGCTGTGGGAAGGGGAGAGTCCCCACTCCGTCAAAGCCGTGTGGTTCTCTCTCCTAAAGCAGCACAGTTCTCCCTCAATGGCTGAGGTCCTCCCTATTCTGCTAAAGCCACATGGTTCTCTCTCTCAGGGCTGCGGGAAGGGGAGAGTCCCCACTCTGCCAAAGCCGCGTGGTTCTCCCTCCTAATGGCCGCCAAGTCTGGGTTTTAAATCCCCGCGGCCAATCTTCCTCTGCAGCCTCATTTCCGACTCCTCCCACACTCGGCTTCACTTGCCAGAATTCATATCCTTCCAGCTTTACTGGGCTGCCATCATGAGTCTGGGCAGGTGTGGCCCCATGTCCTGGAGCCAATCTTTTCCGAGCTCCCACGTAGGCGTAGGCGCTGTAGCTTGGGGGATCTGCCCCCAGTCACGTCTTGGTGGGGAAGTTGCTTCCATTCCCCCTGGCTCAGAGATGATCACAGCTATTTAACATGTCTAAGCGACCAGCCAAAGGCTATAGATATGTTAAATGACCACGCCAGAGGGTAGCTGCAAGGCTGTTGCTATGCAAAACAGCTCTCAATGGCCCTGCTCCATTGTCCCTTCCCCCAACCCACACTCTGGGTGGGGGGATGGAGACATCTTAAAATCTCCTGGACACCTTAAGTTCTGGACCCCATTTTAAATGCCCATTTGGGGTCCCCCCTCTTGGCTGCACCCTGTAACATGAGGACATGAATTGTCTGTGTAGCACATAATAGATACTCAGTAAATGTTTTGAATGAGTGAAGATGGAAATTACTATTAATCTTTTTTTTTGGAAATTACTATTATTGTTAACATTTTGAGGTTTTACCTTCTAGCTTTTTTTTCCTAAGTATCCATTAGTTATGGTATTTACTGTTATTTTTCACCTTCATATATTTTAAAATACTGTTTTTAAAAAATGAACTTTTTTTGGCAATGTCCAGATATTGAACTGTGCCATGATTTTGAGATATTGAAATTTATAAATGTCACAGGTGTGCACAGGTGTGCACAGGTAACCAGGTTCTTAGTGATCGAGAACAAAGAATTGAACCGAACACACAAAGTTTATAGCATAAAGAAAGAGGGGAGGTTTATTAAGTGATAGTAC